CAGCACCCTGCCATCCAAAATGGGCTGCCAAGATTCACCAGCTTCCCCTCCTCAACAAGCAGTCTGGCTGAGTAATCTACAAAGCTATTGATAACTGATTAGAAACAATCCATGATTAATTGCCGGGTGGTTTTCATTCTGGGTCACGAGGGGATGGGTGTGCGCACGTGCAGGGTGCAGGTTATCCTAATTACCAAGTAACTATAAAAGGTGGGGGGAGCACCGGGTGGCAGCTCTGACTATTTATTCATTGCCTTAGTGCTTTGTTGGTCAGTTTGTGCCAGAGGAAGAATACAAACTGCATTTACAAACTGTTTCTGTGTTTGGCTGTTTTCATTAACCTTTTGGAACCTGACAGTTTGTCAGAGCTTACACTAGATCACACACACACCCGCCCAGTTTTCAGCCTGGATGATTTCCTGAAGGACCCTGCTGGTGAAAATGGGCATGGGGTCCATACACACACACCCTGTGCCCCATTTTGGTTGCACCACAGGCCAGTCCTTTGCTACTTCTAGGCTGGCCTGCAGTGGGCCAGATTTAAGCACCCCCTGGGCTGGATCTGGCCAAAAGGCCTTGAGTTAGAAACCTCTGTTTTAGTAGGACGAAGTGTGAGAGAGGAAGGCACCAGTGAAGTGAGAGAAGCACTGACTGAGGTCCTAAAAGACAGAAGCTACCCACCACTTCAACAACTTCAACAAGGATGGCTGCTACATTTTGCTTTCTTTTGTTTGGTCTTCTTCATATTTAATCTTAGTCCAATTTCTTTCTGCATTCCTTGATTATCATTAGAGCTTGCAGATGCTTTGTATTTTGGGCTATTGTAGAAGTATCATTTGCATAGCCCACAGGTGCTTTTTTAGGAGGCAACTGGACTTTTTTTTAAAGACTTTTGATTCTCATCCAAGAAACTCCTTCAGCTCACAGGATGGTAGGGAATGGAAGGATTTATAGTCCTTGCAGACAGCTGGTGATTTGCATCCTTTTAGAGGCTTGTTGAAGCACTTGGAGGTTTCTCTGTGCCCTCAGAGTCACCTGAGTAGTGCTCCTGGTTCCTGTAGTCTGCAATGTTTCTTCTGGAAATTCATTCCTACTCCCACATCATTCAAAGGGTGTTCATCCCAAATTGTATAGCTAAAAGTCTGTAGAGATTTTCAGTCATCCAGGTCATGGTTGTCCCAAAGGTGATTTTTGAGAAGGCAACTGGACTTTCTTGGTTTTTTTTTCTTTTGAAGATGTTTTGCTTCTCAACCAAGAAGCTTCTTCCATTCCTTTCCATTCCCCACTATCCTGTTGGAGCTGAAGAAGCCTCTTGGATGATTCCAGTTGCTTCCTGAAAAAGCACCTTTGGGACAACCATTGGGATAACCATACCTAGATGACTAAGAATCTCTACAGATTTTTATCATTTGCATAGTTTAAGTTATTGAACTAGGTCTTCTAGTTGTAAAAATCATGTCTTTTCTTCCAATCCACCCTCCCACTATACTGTATGTATTCAGCACATAGGCTGGACAAATAAGGAGAAAGTATACAGCCTCCTTAATCCTTTGCTGATCTAAGCCAGTCTGTTTTGCTATGTTCCCTCTGGACTATAACTTCCTAAATGGGTCATGATTCATAAAACACAGATTACATGACCACACAGTTAAGCAAGGAAACTTTTCCCTGATTAATGATTTCCTACTATTAACTGTGGCAGAGTTTTTTCTGCAAAATACTTTACATTGTTTGTCTATATATGTCTAAGTGTTTCTCAGCCTTGGTGACTTTAAGAGGTGTGGACTTCAGCTCCCATGCTGGCTGGGGAATTCTGGGAGTTGAAGTCCACACATCTTAAAATCACCAAGGTTGAGGAACACTGATCTATGTGGAAGTAAATTCTGTTATGTTCTATGGGACTTATTTTCTGCTAAGTAGCAATAGCACTTAGACTTATATATCACTTCATAGTGCTTTTACGGCCCTCTCTAAGTTGTTTACAGAGTCAGTATAGTGTCCCCAACAATTTGGGTCCTCATTTTACTCACCTCGGAAGGATGAAAGGCTGAGTCAACCTTAAGCCTGCTGAGATTTGAACTGCCAAATTGCAGGCTACCTGCAGTCAGCAGAAGTAGCCTGCAGTACTGCACTCTAACCACTGCGCCACCGTGGCTCATGTAAGTGACAACCTTAACAGTTTTAGGTTTTCTAGATAAGATTCTGACATTTTATAATCCCCATCAATACTGAATAACTTTAAAGAAATTGGATTGGCCATGATAGGAGTTTTTGGACATCCTGTTCCTCTTCAGCATTATCTGTCCACCACTTTCCAAAATGTGCTGCCTCAGTTTCTCTAATGCCAGGACTAGATCTATTCTCTGGATTATTATAAGTGAAAGCAACTGCAGAATTGTGGGGAAAAGCTTGGTGTGTTTATTAGCAGTAACCTTGTGAGGCAAACTCCACTCCAGGAACATGGTGGTGCTTACAATATGTCTGAAAACATTGTATGTAAACCTTTAAATCACAGGAAACTGTTGCATCTTTGCCTGCTGTAAATGTAATCATATACCATTTATCTAATATTGAAAGCCTAAGCTGAGATGGGGACAGAGGGCAATAGGAGTAATGTACAGGTAGTTTTCATTTTGCATCTCATTCAATTATCTAACTCCATACAACCCCCCCCCCCATTTTCTCACAATAGAAAATGTATAGTAGAATAATAGAAAGTGTTGCAGGCCTGAGGTCCAAAAGAAAAGATGACTTGTAGGCTTGACACCAGGTAAATGAGGAGCAAAACTTGACCAGATGAGCTAATTCTACTTTACTATATAGCTACATTAACAGAATCTTACAAGTCTGAAAATTCAAATTTCCCACTACCACTTTTAACTTTGACCCATTAGAGTTGATCCTTCCTAAGTTTCCTTGATAAGCCACTAGGGGCTCTCTTGTCTGACTGTTTAATAAGCATTCTTTCCTTCATTCCCCAAGGCCATTCACACATACATTAAAAAAAACCTTTCCCCTGAAACAGGGCCTCTTCTTCCACATATTTTGGAATTACTCTATGACCCAATGTATACTGCCAGACTATTTTTGCAGTCATAAGCCCCTGATGAGGATTTCTTCCCCTCACAGATTTGTTTCCAGCTGTGAAAGAAATCACCAGCACGCGCCTTTAATTTGCAACCACTGCCAATAATCTGCATCTGTTTTCAGTCTAAAAATGTTGGGTTTCTTCATTCCTGCTAATATAGAGATCCTAGCTTTATTCCCACTATTCCATGTCCATGTTCTCTTTTAGCAGAAGGCAGAGAACCATAAACTGGTCTATTTGCAAATCACTGTTTAAAAATGCCTTTAGGGTTGATTTATTCTCTGGAAAGTTTGCAGCTGTGTTGGACTGTTAGATCAGATTCAGGTACTCACATTCCAAAGTGACAGCAAATTATATGGTGCCAATAATCCTTATCTTAATAATTAGTTGTAAATTGTGACCTTGGATAAGTAGCGACCTTAACTAATGTGAATCAGTCTTACTACATTCTAAGTAATTCAGGAAGAAATTTAAGTACTAGAAAACTATTACATCTACTTCCTCTCTATGGTCTGTTTCCTAACACTCAAATGCTATCATCTTGACAAAAATTGATGGGTTTTGATAATTATTGGGGAGAGCTTTGTTTTTGCAAGATCCAAAGACCTCCATTACGCATGAACATAAATCTACCTCCAAAATTTCAGGAAAAAAATGGCTAATTTTTTTAATTTATCAGGATGGTACTATCCATCAATATCCATCACTGTCAGGCTGGTGATGGGGATCCAAGTAGACCAAAGAAGAAGAAGAAATCCTTGGTATCTTCCTTTCTTTGCAAACCAAATCAAATGATTTACTTTCTTTTTACATAAACAGCAACCTGGGTCCCAACTCCTGAGTTTTCTGAGATAGTTCAAATCTGCCTTTCATGGAAGACCATATATGATGACTTTTCTATAAAATAAAAATCCTTATTTCCTGCTAATAACTTCGGAAGAATTGTCCAAGATTTTTTCCCCAAGGTATAGGGCTTCTTTATACACATCTCAAATAAAGGCATCAGAACTAAATCTGATTTGTTTTTCTAATCCTACCACTATATACCTTATATACCTTCCATACTTATCATCTGAAATTCTTGTCCTATTATCAAAGAGGAGAAATGGTAACCTTATGAAATGTATAGTTCTCAGGAAAACTACATACTGTTATAAACAATTTGATAATGGCTCCAATTATGGAATCGCAGGCATTATGCAGATGTTATTTGTTTGTTTATTTATCTGAGGGGATGAAATGAGTCTCTCAGGAGCCCTTACAAAATTCATAAAATTTTAATAATATGCAATTAAAGTCCAATTATACAGTTAATGGCTAACATAAGCCAGACAATAGGACAAAAATCAAATAAAAAGCCAAAGAAAAACTTAGAAGTACATTGTAGAAAAAATATGTATAAACTTTTTACCCACGCTGTTTAATGAGTTTGTCAGTGTTTATATTTTTGCTTGTTATTAACTCTTTTTGGATTTATTATGGTAACCTATCCAAAGCTCAAAGGAGTTTAGTCAGCATATCAACCTTGTAAACATAATACCTCAGAATACTACCAGCCTTCTTTGTGGGTAGGTAATGCTGACATTATTAATTATTTAATTTTCTTATAAAATTTCTCTTAAATTTTGGGGTTATTTCTTATTTTTCAGTTGCTGCTTATGGGTTTATTTATTTACTCATGTAATTTTTATACTGCCAGTCTTAGAATCCTGGGCAGGATTCTTCAATCACTTGAATATTATAGCCATCTAAAGGATGCCCCTCACTCTTTTCCACTGACCTGTTTAAAAAAAAGGGGGGGGGGGTTAAGTAGCTTCTTAGCAGCCAAGAGTGAAGCATATATCCAAAGATCCTTTGCTGATGGTTACAAAAGCAGACAGAGTCATTTTTTGCAATGCCAGGATCTACTTACCAGCAATATGGCTGCTCCCTTCTCAAACAGTTGTAGTTTTTGAATCATCTTCAATTGCAGACCCATCAAGTATGCATTGCTATTGTCCCACTGAATGATGATAAGAGTATGAGTCACTGTTGCTGATGGCTTCTGGTGTAGGTAGAACTGTTAACTGGCTTACCAGCTGAAGTTGGTCAAAGGCATAGGGAATAGCCTTGAAAGATGGGAGGAAAAGCTGCTAAGTCAACAGTCAAAATAAGCGAGACTTGAGCCCAAGCCAGGAAATTAATTTGACAACATTTCTCAAACAAGCCCTTTCTGAGTTCAAATGAAGAGAAGGGAGAAGGGAGGGAGAAGGGAAGAAAAACCTATTCAGATGTGCAAGATTCTGTCAATGTAAAATTAACTATATGGCATTGGTTTCTTAGTCTGGCCTATCTTATATGTAGGCAAGTAATGCATTAGAATTAATGGAAGAAATACATCTAAAATATCATTTGTGCTTTTTCAGCTGCGGTTATATAATGGGCCACAACCATGAGGGTCATGTAGGAGATGAAAAAGGAATTATGCTGTATCAATCATGATAGTCTCCACTAGTATTGGAAAGATAACAGTTGATTGGGGGAGGGAGTGACCCATCTTGATCTTACTAGATCTGATGGAATGTAGCAAGGATGTGGATCCCCAGGAGGAGGGGCTGCATTTCAGAGGGATAAGAGGCCCACTCAGCCCAGATATTATTTTGTCTATAGGTGCACAACAATAAAGAACTCAGCTTGGAAGAAATGCCATGTAACATTCTTTGTTTTAGGCCTGACACTAGGTTCATTGCTCCTTCTGGAGTAGCATTAATTCTAATGCATCACTTACCCACACTATAAGCCCATCAAATGTTCCACTGTATTCATTACTGTATGACCACTAAGTAGCAATTTTATGTCATGACTAATGAAATTACTAAGGAAACAAAATGGGCTCCAGGATAGACTCTATCCTACTTTTATTTTATTTGCATGTAGCTGAATATAATGTTACCCATTTTCCTAGGAAAGATATTTGAATTCAGGGCAGTCCATATCTAACTCAACTGGATATTACATTGAAGGCATAAGATAGTATCTAAGAACTTAATTTCTTCCCTTAACTCAGATTGTGATCCGTCTCTGAAGGAGACTAGGGCAGCAAGGAGTTCAAGTATATTGGATTACAATCAAAATAAAAACCATTCATTAAACATAGGACTGGAATTTACAATATGCCATTGTGCAGTTTTACAAATCTTGTTCAGTAATTAACCTTTCATCATAATCCAATGGAAGCATATTTATCTCATTATAGTATATTTTAGTAGAGAAAGAGAGAAGGAGAGAAGATGGAGGGAGGGAGGAGGAAGGGAAGGAAGGAAGGGTGTTAATTTCTTTACTCCTAATTTTATTGTTCTAGAGAAGAAGAAATAGATTTGAATACCATCCATCAAAGAAGAAAATAGCTTTTCTAAACCAAAATAGATATGGTCAAACAATGTTAAATTACGAATTCCAACACTTTTCAGCAACCAGGGCTCCTCCAAATGTACTAGGACAACATCCCTCAATTTAACCATGTTTTCGCCAGTCCCCAAGTTTATTCCCAACACATTGCAAGAATGCCAGGTAAATTGAACTAGAATTAGAAGATTGCATTTTCAGTAGCAACTTCATTATGCAGTTCCGTTTAAATGTAATGTTTCCTTGCATTTTAGCTGTATTAGATGAGAACGTTTTCCTAAAGCCACACTGTGCTAATATAAGGTAATTTGCAAAAAAAATCTACCCTGGGACAAATTATATGATATCATATGTTGTTGCCTTGTGTCATATTAATAGTACTAATAAGTTTATTTTCATGAGTTTATTGAACTGCGACAAGACAGTTCCTTTAAAAAGATCCTATTATTTTCTGTGCCGTTATATTATTGTCATTCAAACAATCCATTAGCTGAATTGGTAAACACAATACTCAAATCTAGTTTTGCACTTATTACCCAGATCAAAATATTGTGTATTTCAAATACTTCTTTTGATCTCAGTTGTATTACTTATCTTTACAAGAGAATACATTAAGATATCACTCCAGAAGTGCTCTCAAAGCAAAATAGCAGAGTAATTCACAATTTTGACTCTCGAATTAAGAACCCGATTTTTTATCAAGAAAGGCTACACATTTGAAAAGCAAGCATGTCCCACACAGTTTAGACTCATCTTTTAAGATGCCTAAGGGGATGGGGAGTTGTGTTGACTTTCATTTTTTTATTGTAGGTGTATGACGCAGAACAACGTACAATGTGCAGTATTCTTTGTCTGCTCTCACACATTCTCCCAATACATATATGAACAGAAAGCTTTCATTATTCATTTCCTCTACACAACTTTTTGTTCCACTTGTGACCCAGATTCTACAGCAGGAATGTAGACATTCCAAATCACTTTATGATTGGGTTTTGGGGTGAGCCCATAACATTTCTACCAGTGAGACGGAAAAGGTTTATGACTTTGCGATCTCGATCGTTGTACTACATAACAATGATGTGATTTCTCATGTGATTTTTTTTTAATAAAGAGTCTGTTCTGACTTTGATACAATAATGCAGAAGCTGATTAGGGAAACAGGAAGTCAACAGAGGCAGGATGACTAGAAATTATTTTTACTACAGTATCCCTATCTTTATTACCACAGGAACAAAAATGAATTCCAAGTAGACATATTAAAAATAAAAAAATAAAAGATAACATGAATTAAATCATTATAGGATGGCATGGAGTAAGTAGAACATTGTACGCAGGAGACTCCTTAATGGTAGGATGAAATTAGATGGAGCTCAGATTTCAGCCAGGGAATCAACAATTGAAGTCCTCAGGATGTGACTTGTTAAAGCTGCATGGACAGCACTGCAACACAGATTTGTTCCTTTTGCAGGACAAAGGGTCACTGTCAGCCATTCAATGTAGATCAGACTAGATCCTCAAACTATAGTAAATACACTAAAATGACTTTTATTATAGAGTTACAGTAACAGAAGCTTGCGGTTTTGAATGTGCCTCTCTCATCTCTGCCTTTATCCTGAGGACAACTAAGGAAGGATCCAGCCTGAGATGCTTTCTCAGATTACATTTCTGCCTTGGGTTGAGGTTTCTCTTATCTGACCATTGCCTTGGCTGTGTTCTTCCTCAACTTTATTCTCACAGCCATTACACACAGTGGCCTCAACAAGATTTAAGGTAGTATGATTTCTTGTCTGAATGTGAGGGGGGGGAACAGCACAATATTCTGAGAATAGAAGACATTGTTGAAAATGAAACAAAGAATTCATTCAGATTCTCTGTAATCACCTTATCCTCATTTTGCATTCCTTTAACTTCTTTGTCATAAAGCGCTCAACTGCATGGCTCTGGGCTTACCAAGCTTTAAATTTCAGTGAAATAATACACATTGCCATCTAAAGGAATGGTGAACACAGAACCATTAAACTGAGGGTTTAAATTACCTGTAATTATCATCTTTATTTCATATAAAATTAGCAACAATAAAATGTCTTAATGTTTGTCACAAATAGTATTGTTCTATTTTTAGCGCTCACTGAAGAAATTAACAATTTTCTAAATCTACAAATCTACCCTATAGTAATTTGGCCATCATTTTGTCTCAATCAAGGCTTTAAAGGAAACCAGAGGAAAGCAATTCTGTTATAAAGTTTATAGGTAAAGGTTCTCCTTGCACATATGTGCTAGTTGTTTCCGACCCGACAGGGTGGTGCTCATTTCCGTTTCAGAGCCAAAGAGCCAGTGCTGTTTGAAGATGTCTCTGTAGTCATGTGGCCGGCATGACTAAACACTGAAGGCACATGGAATGCTGTTACCTTCCCACCAAAGTGGTCCCTGTTTTTCTACTTCCATTTTTTATATGCTTTCAAACTGCTAGGTTGAAAGAAGCTGGGACAAGTAACGGGTGCTCACTCCATTACTCAGCACTAGGGATTTGAACTGCCAAATTGCAACCTTTCCGAACGACAAGCTCAGCATCTTAGCAACTGAGCCACCACATCCCTAAATAATGTTTATAAGTGTGTGCAAAAAAGTTTTGATCTGAAATTTTCAATAAACTAAAAAGGAAAGAATGATTAAAGATTAGCTGATTTCTCAAATCTCATTTTTTGCTCAGCTCCTAACTAAATGTAGTCCATTACTAATAATGTACACTGCAAACAGTTAATATTGAGACAGTTTTTCTAAAATATGTGCTGAAAATGTTCACATACTCTGTCATAATTCTGTTTCTGTCCCTGGTCTTGTCTACAGAGATGATCTTGGTGTCCCCCTCACTTTTACATCCTCTTAACTTTGTACAATGAAAAAACATACCTGAAGCACCTGAGGCTATGTTGCAGACCCCCTAATCCAAGGAATTCTGACTGGTGGGTTCCAGGAAGAGACCCTCTTCTGCTATTGTCCTTCTCTGTGGAACACTCTCCACTCAGAAGTGAGTCACTCACCCACACTTCTCCTGAGCTTGCAGAAAGACATGAAAACATGGCTCTGTGGTCTTGCTTAGGACATACAGAGATGCAAGCCCTCCCCCTGCTTTTTAATTATTAACATTGCTTGTCTCTTTTAAATTTTATATACTATTTTTAGTGTTTTAATTGTACACCACCCAGAGTCCAGAGATGGGCAATTTTAAAATTTGACAAATAAATAAACTAAATACTTAACAGGGTCCTAGCCCAAGTGGAACAGGGAAATGGCCCCACTCCTTACTTACTGCAAACAAAAAGTGAAATCATAAGTGAAGCAGAAAAAGATTTGGGCCTTATTAGGGAGTTGCAATTCCTCACTCAAAAAGAGATTGGATCCAGCAGCATAACATTTTTAAGTTTGTCCATAAATCAGCACAAAACAATATGACAGAATGAGGAAATCTTGCCTATTTGGAGACTCTGTTGCGGGAACAAAAGCAGGCCTTTCTGTTTTAGTAAGATAGTGAAGAATCTAGTAAACACCCTAATGCAGTGTTTCTCAACCTTGGCGATTTTAAGTTCTGTGGACTTCAACTCCAAGAATCCCCCAGCCATTACTGCCCTAATGGGAGAAGAAAACAGTCTTAGGAAATGTGAAGAATCTTTTATGACCTGATGTTTTGTCTTGGTTATATATGATAGTGTAGTAGTAAATAGCCGCAGTTTGGTTGATACAGTCACTAAATTGTCCCCTTGAGAATCAACTTTACTTCACATACTGCAGTTCTCCACAAAATCTATTCTATCAACTGAAGTATATATTAGTTGTCAAAAGAAAATTCAAATTTCTAGTGGAAACATATTGATTTATTTTATTTACATTTGGTGGTGTGTGCAGTTGGTCGTTGTTGTTTTTTAAAAAAATCAGCTTTCACACATCAGCTTTCAACAATAGATTGGACTATGGCGATGGAGAGAGACAATGATTATTGCCATGTGATGCCATAAAAGACTACACCTGCTGTTGAGTTGAGCAGGCTGTAAGTCTTTCAGAAAAGGTAATGTACATCAGATTTTTCATGAAGTGATGCTTTAAACTGGATTCTCCTATTACATTTGTTTCCTTAAGTCATAATTGGCTAGTTTCATGCCACAAACATTGTACATGAAACTTGCCAAGATGTTTTCTGCTGTTCATTACCATATTTATCACCATGCTTTCATTATTCTAGTAGTGAACTATTAAAATAAAATAAAATACTTTTCACCAGTCAACTAAATAATTTGTTTTTAAAAAGTTTCAGATGTTTATAATTCCATTAGCCACTTTCAGGTGTGAAGAATCAGGATCATATGTTAAGTTCCACTTAAGCTAATTTATTACACAAGAATCTAGTCAACTAACCATCATCACTAAATTGGCACTAGATAAGAGTTAATGGAATTTAAGATGGGTTGAAGCATTTGTGGGAATGTAATGACTCTAGTGGGGACACAGTGGCTAAGACGCTGAGCTTGTCGATCAGAAAGGTCAGCAGTTTGGTGGTTCAAATCCCTAGTGCCATGTAATGGAGTGAGCTCCCATTACTTGTCCCAGCTTCTGCCAACCTAGCAGCTCAAAAGCACATAAAGATGCAAGTAGAAAAATAGAGACCACCTTTGGTGGGAAGGTAACAGCATTCCATGCACATTCAGCATTTAGTCATGCCGGCCATATGACCACGGAGATGTCTTTGGACAACGCTGGCTCTTCAGCTTTGAAACAGAGATGAGCACCACCCTCTAGAGTAGAAAACAACTAGCACATATGTGCGAGGGGAACTTTTACCTTTACCTTTAATGACTCTAGGGTGATTACTCACTTGACCCCAAAATTCTGCCTGCTCTTCTACAGTCATCTTGTTAAAAAAAAATAAACACCAAATTCATCCAGTAGTACAGAATTAAGTAGCAATAGAGGGCAGAGAACAATAAGAGTAAGGGAGGGAATGAATCTGCCATGGCACAAAGTAGCCAAGGAAGTTTTTTCACTTGCCAGAAGGGAATTAAACCAGACAGGTGAGCCTTGCAGCTCCATTTATGCAAGCACAAGTTGACATGTAGAAGCAACAGATGGGTGGATATTGCCTCCTTTGTGAATTTGGGAGTAAACAGAGAATATTGTATATTCTTGTCTTCAAAAAAAATGTTCAATGGTTAATCCTCATGGTATGGCATGGTTTATGCAAATCAGCCCTGAAACAATAAGAATTAAAAATAGCCATCAAACATAACTCCATTGTGCACTGCTGATGTTACCTAGTCTAGAAATATCTGCAAGAAGAAAAACAAGATCGAATGACACCAAGAAACCAATGGTGAGAATTCAAGTTCAGGTAATGTTAAAGTTCACAATGTTAAACTATCAGTGCAAGGTGTCCTCTTAAGCTAAACAGCAGCATCATGGTGCAGCCATTTTTACTTAAGACCATAATGGAGAGGAAGAGTTGAAATCCCATGTTTTGAGTTAAGATTTTGCTGCAGTTTTAAGTTGCAAAAATACCTACACACACACACACACACACACACACACACACACACACTAATGCAGTATAGCATTGGCAGTCATGTGATTCAACTGGTGTAACAACCAGCTCACTGAGCATGTGCTTTGTGTACATGCAGTGCAGTTGAAAACTCAAAAACCTACCTTCTACTGCAGCATCAGTGAGTAAAACAACTGAAAAACGGCAATCCTCTCTGCCGCGTCTATCAGCTTGGCTTCAAATAAAGGAAATATATGTCAGTATAGAGAAGGAGGAAGTGGACAGGCAGGCCCACCTGATTATTGGAGCAAACTGGTTTGCTCACAGCTGATTGTTGGAGCTACCTGTTGGCCCAAACCAGTCCAACCCTGCTGAATCCCACTCCTGAGCAGGGGTTTCCAACCCCCATGCAAATGAGCATGTACTTCATCTATATGTGTGCAGGATATCGGTAGCACATGAAACTATCCCCCCGCCCCCCGCCACCATCGGTCCATGGAAAAATTGTTTTCCCTGAAGCCAGTCCCTGGTATCAAAAAGGTTGAAGGCTGCTGTGGTATGGTGTTACATGATGTGCTTCATATCACTCATAATTTGGTCCTTGAATTTAAAAACTCTGCAGCACTGATCTAAGAGAAAATGATCAATCTATTTGATCAATCTATTTTCAAAAATGACTCTTTCTCTCTCTTTTTTTAAAGATCTGAAATGCTGTAATTTGGAGGTCAGGACCTTAAAATGTCCCCTTTCACTGCTCTAAATTGTATCCCATCCCTTTTCAAGATCAGAATACCAGCTAGATTAAATAAAATTGCATCTGAGGATGGGGGCATCAGCCAACCTCCATTAGCCCAAATGAAACTAAAGCACCCCATGAACCAGCTTCAGAGGACAAACTCCCAAATTACATTTCACAAAGTATCCCTTAGAGGGTCTCATCTGTCAACTGATAGCAGTAGACAAAGGCCATTATCCAGCTATAATTGCTTGGAAGAACCCTTAGCAGCAGACACATACTTGGTTCAATACAGATCCAACAGGACACACATTGGGAGTGTATGCCTATGTGTTCTTAGTAACAATAGCAGAAGCGCACTTGTAAGAATACCGTACAAAGAGTTTTTCTCTCTCTCATTTAAGAAAGTAGTCCTGTTCCTTTGTAGACCAGCCAGAAACAGTTCAGTTTCCATTCACATGAACCTCAGGTCTTCAAAGCATTCATTTCAGTCGATACTGTCCACATTCTCACCCTATAAAAATATTTTAAACTGCTGAACAACATCTCAAAACCATGCCAAAAAATTTTGGACAGTACAATCAGTACTTTATGTCTGTGTCTGCTACAACCACCTACCAATCTTGCTGAAAACATAACTTCTAATTAAAATATGAGCTCTTCTCAAAACACTGGACCATTTTGATCACTAGGTGAAACCAAAAATACAGCATCCTTTCTTTCCGATCTGAACAACCCTACTGCTCAGTGGATGTTAAACATTTCTATGCATTTATCAGCAACATTGATACAGCTTATCATTTGAAAATGCAATAGCATATTGGGATCCATTTCACTGAACCACCCAGTTAAATGGGATATGAGTCAGTTTTTACCTGAGAACTTGAATATTTTGTTTTCTTCTGTATGTTTCTTCCCACAGTGATAAACTTAAATCATTTAATAGTCAAGTCAGTTGTGATGGGACTGACTGGAAAAGAACCAGTGGTGGGTTTCAAATTTTTTTAGAACCTCTTCTGTAGGTATGGCCTGCTTTGTGGGAGTGGCTTGCCAGCCATGTGACTGGATGGGAGTGGCTTGCCAGCCATGTGACTGAGTGGGAGTGACTTAGCAGTCATGTGACTGGGTGGGCATGGTCAACTTGTAAAATGTGGTGAAACTCACTTAACAACGCCTTGCTTAGCAACCAAAATGTTGGCTCAGAAACTCTGGCATTTGAAGCACGCAAGTCTTAAAGCTGTCAAGTTACAAGACCCTTGCACCCCTAACCCTTTAGAAAAAAAAACCCCAGGGGTGTTCAAACTTGACAGCTTTAAGACTTGTGGACTTCAACTCCCAGAATTCCTCCTCTTGCTCTTCATCTTAATGATGTGTGGATGGGTGGGGGGAGGGAGTGGGAACCGGTTCTAAACAGCACTGTAGATTTGTGGAACCTCTTCTATAGAAGAGGTTAGAACTGGCAGGAACCCACCCCTGTAAAGAACCCAAAAGTAGATCAGGCCAAAGTTAAAACTCTCAATGAGGAGTTCAAGAAAAATGACTAAGGTTCAAGGAACAATGAAATAACCTAGTGCCAGGTCCAGAGTAACATACCAGGCAAATTCCAAAACAGTAAAGTAGAAACTAGTACAGAAGTTGCTCCAAAACCAAATCTAAATATGCAGCTGCAGCTGGACTACTCTGATTTACTGGGTCAGCTTCTGCAATGCCCCAACCTCCCTTGCTAACAGTTACTCATGTGTCTTCCAATCTTCAGTCTCTTTCTATGCCACCACCAGCCTTTCCAA